AATATTCAAAACACTCAACCTACTCACCATACAAAACATCCATACTTATTACTGCACCTATTACATACATAGAACACTTAACTCTGATATTAACCCTCCCCTCAAACATCTCCTTGCCAACCTCAACAGAACACATGACCATAACACAAGGCACAGATCACTCTTTGATGTTCCTCGTGTCCATCTCACGCTATGCAAAAACTCAATGCACATAAAAGGCCCTAAAATCTGGAATTCATTACCTGTAAATATAAAAGAAACACTACCTGTTTATAAATTCAAGTCTCTTCTCAAAGATCACTTACTCACTCAAAACCAAATAAATACTGAATAATTGAACCTTATAAATTGTATATCCTATATGTTACTCACAATTATATCACACAAATGTTAAACCTAGGACCCAATCTAACTTTGTTATTTTTTTAAATACACTACCTAACAGAATACTCCATTCGACTGAATGTACAACAATGCATGCAACCATATGACCTGTCTTTGTAATACTCACTTGTGCTTTATAGTTATCTGTTTACAATAATGTTTTATCACTGATTTCATCATTGCTTAGTTAATCTTAAGTTAATTTTAAGCCAGCCCGTAATGCTATGCATATAAGTGGCTTTGGCATGCTGCTCTTACCTGTATTTTTTGTACCTCTGTATGTATGCTTAAATTACTAAATAAATAAATAAATAAATAAATAAATAAATTCAATTATTGGGATGACCTAAATCATGACCAATCATTCCTCGTTATATTTTATCATACGAGAAATAAGGCAAAATTTTAATTTTGTATGTAATGATGTATTGAAAATAGAAGGCAAGTGTAATATAGGAGAGGCCTGGTGGAGGTGATTAATGAAGAGAGGAAATGTTGCTGTACTGTCTGGAGTGTCTATATTATTATGGACTCTTTTTCAACTGGATATTTTTTAATTTTGTGTAAAACTGGTCAAATTACTGGCTTTTGTGCACTTTATAGGGTAGTTGTGAGAATTGAATTGGTATTTTTAATGTGCTCAGTCAATAGAAAAGATGGCATACTCAAAAAAGCTGAGAATTTGGTCAAAAGGAATAATATATGTAATTGGCTTAAAATAGGACTCAATGTAGGTGAAATCTCAGGTGTGAAATTGTGCCCAGACTGCTAACTTTGCTCCTGCTTAATTCTGTAATTTTTCCATCAAATTTTGTACTTGTGGCATCATTACTTTCAGAAAAAGATTCTCTACCATTTCTAAAGAAATTATTTTTTTTTAAATCCTGACACTGTTAGCACTTATAATTTCAGGGTCTGGACAGTGAAAGAGTTAAGAAAAATATTAAAATGAAGGAACATGAATATGATGAGACTTATAGCATGACTTTATTAAACAGCTATCAGCATAATACTACGTAAATAGCTATCAGCATGAGCAAACACTATGACATATTTATTAGAAAACGTTTCGGTCCTGGGACCTTGATCAACGTCCCAGGACCGAAACGTTTTCTAATAAATATGTCATATTGTTTGCTTATGTGTCTTTCTAAACCAACTTGTCGGTATTTATTACCAAGGTTTATACCAGCTATCAACATCACTTATTAAACTGTCAGAATGACTCATTAAACAGCTGTCAGCATGACTACAACAGTAGTCTTGCTGACAGTTCCTTTGGAATGGTTGACAGATATTGAACCTTTTTAATCTTAAGGCAGAGAGTTCCAGATATTGGGGCCTTTTATGCAGTTTTTACTTGGGTTGGGTTGAACATGGGGATGTTGAAGATATAGTAGTATTTGGTTCTGATGTTATGACTGACTCACAAAATCATAATATGATTGTAAACTAATCGCATAAAAGGTGGGGATTCGAACCCGTGGCAAGTGAGTCTTAAAACTCGCGGGCCAGTGTGCTAACACCTGGTCCATGGCGACCCAATAAGATTCATCCAACTAGGTATATTTCTATAAACCATAGGGATGTTAGCATGAGCCACCACCCATGACCACAGATGCAGGTTTTCACAGACGAATCCCACACCAGCGTAGCTATGGCATGCTCTATCTAAAGTCCCCTTGAAGCTGCCATCATGGTGGTTTTGAAGACTTGCCAGCCATGGGTTCAAGTCCCTCTTGTTGTGTTGTGCCTCTGGGTTGTGTTGCAGCTCCCAGGAAGTCCCAGAGCAGAAGTCATATTGGAATTAATTGTTGTGTATATATGTGCACAGTGCTATGAGTGAATTTTTTGTATATTGAATGTAAGTTTAAACTTTTGAAGACTGGCAGTGTGTGTTGTCTTACACTTGAAGACTGGCAGTGTGTGTTGTCTTACACTTGAAGACTGGCAGTGTGTGTTGTCTTACACTTGAAGACTGGCAGTGTGTGTGTTGTCTTACACTTGAAGACTGGCAGTGTGTGGTTGTCTTACACTTGAAGATGGCAGTGTGTGTTGTCTTACACTTGAAGACTGGCAGTGTGTGTTGTCTTACACTTGAAGACTGGCAGTGTGTGTTGTCTTACACTTGCAAAACTGGCATGTGTGTGTGTTGTCTTACACTTGAAGACTGGCAGTGTGTGTTGTCTTACACTTGAAGACTGGCAGTGTGTGTGTTGTCTTACACTTGAAGACTGGCAGTGTGTGTTGTCTTACACTTGAAGACTGGCAGTGTGTGTTGTCTTACACTTGAAAACTGGCAGTGTGTGTTGTCTAACACTTGAAGACTGGCAGTGTGTGTTGTCTTACACTTGAAGATGGCAGTGTTGTGTGTTGTCTTACACTTGAAGACTGGCAGTGTGTGTTGTCTTACACTTGAAGACTGGCAGTGTGTGTTGTCTTACACTTGAAGACTGGCAGTGTGTGTGTTGTCTTACACTTGAAGACTGGCAGTGTGTGTTGTCTTACACATGAAGACTGGCAGTGTTGTGTGTTGTCTTACACTTGAAGACTGGCAGTGTGTGTTGTCTTACACATGAAGACTGGCAGTGTGTGTGTTGTCTTACACTTGAAGACTGGCAGTGTGTGTTGTCTTACACTTGAAGACTGGCAGTGTGTGTGTTGTCTTACACTTGAAGACTGGCAGTGTGTGTTGTCTTACACATGAAGACTGGCAGTGTGTGTGTTGTCTTACACTTGCAAACTGGCAGTGTGTGTGGGTTTTCTTACACTTGAAGACTGGCAGTGTGTGTGTTGTCTTACACTTGAAGACTGGCAGTGTGTGTTGTCTTACACATGAAGACTGGCAGTGTGTGTGTTGTCTTACACTTGCAAACTGGCAGTGTGTGTGTTGTCTTACACTTGAAGACTGGCAGTGTGTGTGTTTGTCTTACACTTTAAGACTGGCAGTGTGTGTTGTTTACACTTGAGACTGGCAGTGTGTGTTGTCTTACACATGAAGACTGGCAGTGTGTGTGTTGTCTTACACTTGAAGACTGGCAGTGTGTGTTGTCTTACACTTGAAGACTGGCAGTGTGTGTTGTCTTACACTTGAAGACTGGGAGTGTGTGTGTTGTCTTACACTTGAAGACTGGCAGTGTGTGTGTTGTCTTACACTTGAAGACTGGCAGTGTGTGTTGTCTTACACTTGAAGACTGGCAGTGTGTGTTGTCTTACACATGAAGACTGGCAGTGTGTGTGTTGTCTTACACTTGAAGACTGGCAGTGTGTGTGTTGTCTTACACTTGAAGACTGGCAGTGTGTGTTGTCTTACACTTGAAGACTGGCAGTGTGTGTGTTGTCTTACACTTGAAGACTGGCAGTGTGTGTGTTGTCTTACACTTGAAGACTGGCAGTGTGTGTTGTCTTACACATGAAGACTGGCAGTGTGTGTTGTCTTACACTTGCAAACTGGCAGTGTGTGTGTTGTCTTACACTTGAAGACTGGCAGTGTGTGTTGTCTTACACTTGAAGACTGGCAGTGTGTGTTGTCTTACACTTGAAGACTGGCAGTGTGTGTTGTCTTACACTTGCAAACTGGCAGTGTGTGTGTTGTCTTACACTTGAAGGCTGGCAGTGTGTGTGTTGTCTTACACTTGAAGACTGGCAGTGTGTGTTGTCTTACACTTGAAGACTGGCAGTGTGTGTTGTCTTACACATGAAGACTGGCAGTGTGTGTGTTGTCTTACACTTGCAAACTGGCAGTGTGTGTGTTGTCTTACACTTGAAGACTGGCAGTGTGTGTGTTGTCTTACACTTGAAGACTGGCAGTGTGTGTTGTCTTACACTTGAAGACTGGCAGTGTGTGTTGTCTTACACTTGAAGACTGGCAGTGTGTTGTCTTACACTTGAAGACTGGCAGTGTTTTGTTGTCTTACACTTGAAGACTGGCAGTGTGTGTTGTCTTACACTTGAAGACTGGCAGTGTGTGTTGTCTTACACTTGAAGACTGGCAGTGTGTTTTCTTACACTTGAGACTGGCAGTGTGTGTTGTCTTACACTTGAAGACTGGCAGTGTGTGTTGTCTTACACTTGAAGACTGGCAGTGTGTGTGTGTTGTCTTACACTTGAAGACTGGCAGTGTGTGTTGTCTTACACTTGAAGACTGGCAGTGTGTGTTGTCTTACACTTGAAGACTGGCAGTGTGTGTTGTCTTACACTTGAAGACTGGCAGTGTGTGTTGTCTTACACTTGCAAACTGGCAGTGTGTGTGTTGTCTTACACTTGAAGATGGCAGTGTGTGTTGGGCTTACACTTGAAGACTGGCAGTGTGTGTTGTCTTACACTTGAAGACTGGCAGTGTGTGTTGTCTTACACTTGAAGACTGGCAGTGTGTGTTGTCTTACACTTGAAGACTGGCAGTGTGTGTTGTCTTACACTTGCAAACTGGCAGTGTGTGTGTTGTCTTACACTTGAAGACTGGCAGTGTGTGTTGTCTTACACTTGAAGACTGGCAGTGTGTGTTGTCTTACACTTGCTTGAGTCATCCTTAATGCAATAGTTTTTTGTTTTTTATGTGCATATTCTGTTAAATGATAAAAGAGATGAGCGTTACTTAAAAACTGTTATGCTTGCAGGTATCAAGCTCCTGGTACCTTGACAGGCGACTTCTGCAGAGTTGACGCCCAGCAGCGACGGCGATACAAGCCACCGAGAGGTCGACACGTTGAGGGAGTTGTTCACTCGGGTCAGTACAAGAACCGGAACATTACGAGTCAGTTGAATGAAGGAGGAGAACGGCAAGAAGAAGGTCCAAGAGGAACACCAAAAGTACAGGAAAGAGGGAGAGGAGGAGGAGAAGGACACAAAAACACAAAAGGAGTCCAGACAGTGGTGTAGTGGTGTAATCATAGGGGAAATTTACCATGGCATCCAGAGCAACCCATGTAATTGAAACCACTACAAGTTGTGAAGACAGTGATAGCAGTAATGAAGGAAAATAATAATGATAGTAGAAGAAAGATTCCATGGTGGTTGCTGCAACACTGTGTACCATGCAAAATACTAACATATTTATTAAGCATAAATAAATAATTGGGATGACACTGAATAATGTAGTGGAAATGAAGAACATTTTGATCAAAACATAACATAATAGAATATGATAGAACATTACATATACATATGCACAGACATTAAAGGTATACATAATATAAAAGTATTTCTAATGAGTATAAAAAGAAATATACATACATGAGAAGTGATTAAAAAATTACATTATGGTACACAACAGTATGAAATATGAATTGACTTAAATTCTAATAAATTATGTTCCCTGGTACATTTTTTTTACATTAATTGATATTAATTACATTAATAATTCAAAGAATTCCAGTTCATTGGCCGTGGTTCCAAGGGGACAAGTAGGTAGAATTCCACTTTGAGAGTCATCAAAGTGGTGAGGCTTGGGAACAAAATTGGGATTTTGCTGCCAATCCCACATACGGTTTGCTGGTGGATACTGGACATTTATTGTAAGCTAAAAGCTAGATGTCACCATATTGCAGAATGAACATAAATGCACTGGAAAATGTACAAAGGATGATCACAAAGTTGATCCCATATATCAGAAATTTTCCCTATGAGGATAGACTGAGGCCCTGAATATGCACTCACTAGAAAAGCGTAGAATTAGTGGGGATATGATAGAGGTGTATAAATGGAAAACAGGAATAAATAAAGGGAATGTAAATAACATGCTAAAAGTATCTAGCCAAGACAGGTCTTGCAGCAATGGTTTCAAGTTGGAAAAATTTAGATTCAGGAAAGATATAGGAAAGCACTGGTTTGGTAATAGAGTTGTGGATGAGCGGAACAAACTGTCGAGTAAAAGCATTGAAGCTAAAACATGTAGTTTTAAAAATAGGTTAGATAAATACATGAGTGGGTGTGGGTGAGTGTGAGTTGGACCTGACTAGCTTGTGCTAATAGGTCTGATGCTGTGCTCCTTCCTTTTTAAGTGGATGTGACCTGGACTTGATTAGCTTGGGTTAGTGGCTTAGGCCAGTAGTTGACTTGGACCTGCCTTGCATGGGCCAGTAGGCCTGCTGAAGTGTTCTTTTTTTCTTATGTTCTTATTATTTTAATTAGAAAAGTTCAGTAGAGTATATTGAAGCATCAGTACTTCAATATACTCTGTGTATTGAAATAATTTACATATTAACCCTTTCAGGGTCCGTCCCGTAGATCTACGGCTTTACGGTGAGTGTCCAAACCGTAGATCTACGCCATGAGCTCAGCTCACTCTGATAAACTATGAGTGGTACATTTGGGCCTAGATATGAGAGAATACATCTATGTGGTATGTGTGCACCACATAAAACAGATCCTGCAGCACACTGTGTATAATGAGAGAAAAAAACTGAAATCATGATTTTTCGATTAAAACAGCAACTTTGCAGTGTTTTTTCGTATGTTTTTTATAGTTGTATTTGCGATTTCTTGGTCTCATTTGATAGAATGGAAGACATATTACAGAAATAGAGATGATTTTGATTGGTTTTAGCACTGAAAATGGCTTGAAACTGAGCTCAAAGTAGCAGAAATGTTAAATTTTTGACGATATTCAAGAGTAAACAAACGACCTCACACATCTAATACACGTCAGCTGGTGGGTCTAATATGCATTCACAAATATGGTGATGATATTTATACAATTATTACAGTATTGCATAACAGTAAATCTTCTATTTTTTGGTGTGAATAAAAATTCATTATGTGAATAAAAAATCAAAATGGAATTTATTTGTAAAGCCTCAAAACATAACTAATGAGCAGAGGAAATGTTAGTTTAGTTCCAGGAATACCTACATTGTTTATTCTGGACCCTATTTTGAAATTGGAATATTTTGAACTTTGTGTTAAATTGGCCAAATTAACAATTTCCGATCACTTTATTTTGTAGTTGAAACAGTTGACTTGGCGATTTCTTGTGCTCAATCGATAGAATAGAAGTAATACTAGTGAAATAGCTAAGAATTTTGTTGATTAGAATAATGTAATTGGCCTAAAATGGGAGTCAAAGTCGGCAAAATCGCCGATTCGTAAATATCGCTGACACATCAAAATTCGCGAGAGCATAATTTCGTCAATTTTCCACCAAATTTCGTACTTTTTGTTTTATTACCTTCACAAAAAGATTCTCTACGATTTCATAAGAAAAAATAACAAATTTTTTTTTTGAAAATTCTTGGACACTGGTGCGTGACTCCAGATTTGGGCCTTGGACCCTGAAAGGGTTAAACAATCAGATGGAAATTACATTAACCCTTTGAGGGTCGACAGGCCCTCTCTGAGACTCGTTCTCAGGGTCGGCCAAATTTAAAAAAAAAAAAATTCTTATGAAAAGATAGAGGATCTTTTCCAAATCATAATGACACCAAAAGTATGAAATTTGATGGAAAACTTACGGAATTATGCTCTCGCGAAGTTAGTGGTCTCAACGATGTTTACACATCGGCGATTTTGCCCACTTTGAGCCCCATTTTCGGCCAATTCCACTGTACTAGTCGACAAAAAAACATGAATATTTTGCTAGAACTCTATTTTTCTATCGAATGATTGCAAGAAACCACCCATTTACCAATTTCAGCTATCCAGTACAGTGGTCAGAATTTAGCAATATTGCCAATTTCACACAAATTTCAAAAGATGCCAATTTCCGAATATGGTCCAGAATAAACAAGAAAGACATTCCTGGCACTAAAATGACGTTTCCTCTGTTCATTAGTCATGTCTCAAGGCCCCTCTTACATTCTTTTGCTTTCCACTTTGAATTTTTATTCTCACAAAAAATAGAAGATTTACTGTTATGCAGACTACTGCATTGGTGTAGAAATGGCATAAATAATATTGGTGCACTTGCGAAAGAATATTAGACTCACCAGTTGACGTGCATTGGACGCTTGGCATGATTTGTTTACTTTTGAACTTTGGTAAAAATCGAACATTTCTGCTACTTTGAGTTCAATTTCAAGGTACTTTTCATTGTAAAACCAGTCAAAATCATCTCAATTTCTGTAATATGTCTTCCATTCTACAAAATGAGATCAAGAAAACTAGAATACAACAATAAATACCATATGAAAATATAGTGCAAAATCGCTGTTTTATTCCAAAAAAACGGTCAAAGTTTTTTTTTCTCATTATGCACTGTGTGCTGCAGGATTTTTTTTATACTCCAGTCAGACTAGGAGGCATTGGTGTCCGCAAGTCATCACAGATTGCATTACCTGCTTTTCTGTCCTCGTGTATTGCATCCAGAGAGCTTGTAGCAGCGATTCTCCCTGAACATCTTAGGGACAAGATTGGAGTCCAGGACCAAAAATTCATTGACGGAGCAATGATCTGGGATAATCTAACGGGCTCTGAAACCAGACCTGCTCCCCCCAACAACTACAAACAATCGCACTGGGATGGTCCAATAGTGGAAAATATTGCCTCAACAATGCTTCAGTGTGTGTCAGGGAAGGATAGAGCCCGCCTCCTGGCAGTGAGAGCCCCTCATGCTGGGGACTTTCTATTGGCTGTTCCCAACTCCAGCCTTGGCACACGCCTCGACCCACAGACCATCCGCATCGGTGTTGCCCTTCGACTTGCCGCCCCTATTCTCGCCGAACACAGGTGTATTTGTGGCAGTGAAGCAGCAGACCGATTTGGGTACCATGGTCTTGTGTGCCGTAAATCCGAGGGAAAGACTGCAAGACATGAGGAAGTTAATAACATTATCAAGAGGAGCCTCACAACAGCTGGATGCCCAGCAGTAAGGGAGCCACCCCAACTATGCAGATCTGATGGCAGCCAGAAGCGTCCAGATGGTATCACCCTTCAAGCCTGGACGGATGGGAAGCAGGTGGTGTGGGACTATAAAATGGGGCATCTACCTTGGCTGATACCTATCTCCAATAAAACCAGGGAAGAAGGAGGGGCAGCTGCCAGCTTCAGGGGGTCCCAAAAGTCTAGAAAATATGGAGAACTTGCCCATCATTATATGTTTGTTCCCATAGGCTCAGAGACCCTTTGGCTCATGGGGAAAGAGTGCATCTAATTTCCTTACGGAGCGGGGAAAAAAGACTCATCAGGGTAACTAGGGATCCCGGGGGCAGCTAGTTTTCTGTTCCAGCGGCTCAGTGCGGCTGTTCAAAGGGGTAATGCCTGCTGCATTTTGGGCACCCCGCCCCACTCTGAGGAGCTGGATGAGATTTTTGCCTTATAATGGGGTGATACCACATAACAACATGTACCGTATATGCCACCTTTATATTAACAATGTATCTCTTAAATCTTCTGTGCCATATTATGTAATAAAATATTTCTATTGGGAAAAAAAAAAAAATTTTAAAAAAATGGGGTGGGAGAGGAAGTGGAATATTCAAACGGCTTCAGGAAGAAATCCAAATATTCTTCCTTGAAGCCTTTTTTCCACTTCTCCGAGGCTGTGGGTCCCACAATTTACACCAGAGGTGGACCCCATCCTATTAATATATTCTTCTTTCTTCTTCAACACACCGGCCGTATCCCACCGAGGCGGGGGGGCCCAAAAAGGAAAAACGAAAGTTTCTCCTTTTACATTTAGTAATATTACAGGAGAAGAGGTTACTAGCCCCTTGCTCCCGGCATTTTTAGTTGCCTCTTACAACACGCATGGCTTACGGAGGAAGAATTCTGTTCCACTTCCCCATGGAGATAAGAGGAAATAAACAAGAATAAGAACTAGAAAGAAAATAGAAAAAACCCAGAGGGGTGGGGTATATATTTTGCTTGTACATGTATGTGTAGTGTGACCTAAGTGTAAGTAGAAGTAGCAAGACGTACCTGAAATCCTTGCATTTCATGAGACAGAAAAAAGGACACCACAATCCTACCATCATGTAAAACAATTACAGGCTTTCGTTTTACACTCACTTGGCAGGACGGTAGTACCTCCCTGGGCGGTTGCTGTCTACCAACCTACTACCTTATTATTATATATATATATATATATTATATATATATATATATATATATATATATATATATTTATTATATTATTATATATTTATTATATATATTTATATATTTTATATATTATTTATATATATTTTATATTTATATTTTTATATATTTTATATATATTTATATTTATATATATATTTTATTTATATATTATATTTTTTATATATATATTTTTATATATATATATAATATATATATATATAAATAATATAAATATATAAATATATTATTATTTTATATATATATAATATAAAATAAATATATATTTTTATATTATAATATATATAT